GCCAGCCTTCTGGTTAGCAGTCAAGTGCCTTAGCCACTATGCTACCAAAATCTGATAAAATATCTATATTCAATGTAACGCTTCCATATAAGTGTAATATAAAGTACATATTTCAAAAAGATATCATAAAGAATTGTTTGTTTTAATGGCTAAGCATAAAGAGAATATCTAGTTAACCAGAATTTTCAAATAAGAGATAACAACAGTAGGGTAAACTACCTATAAATGAAATATTTTATCTAATAAAACATTATGACATCATCATTTTTATTTTATAATATAACAAAAATAAGACTAAACTAATTGTCATAAAACCTCTAATAATTCCCAGTACCAGTATTTCCCCTACTGTACTTGAACATACCTATGAAAGTCTAAGTTGATTGTAATTTATTTCTGAGGTGATGGAGAGTATGAATATAAGAAGCAAAGTTGAGGTAAGAAAAGAATAGTTACAAAGTTTACTTACTTTTACAGCCCATGGGAGTTCTGCAGAGGTTGCACTGATTAGTAAAGGACTACTGGGATCATGCTAAAAAAGGAAAATAAAGTACATGAAAGGCTGAAATCCTCACATCAATAAGCAATGAAGAAAACACAGTCATGGGATTTAAATATATTCATACAAAATGTTGTGTCTCGATGCACATAGGACTTTCTATTTTATACTAATGAAACCTTCATGTAGAGGTCTCTAGATGGCTCAAATGGTTTGAGCTCCAGTAACCTAAAAGTCGGCAGTTCAGACCCACCCAGCAGCACTACAAAATAAAGGCCTGGCAATATGCTTCCATAAAGATCACAGCCCAGAAAGCCCTAGAGAGCAGCTCTACTGTGTAGCCCACGGGGTCGCCATGCATAAGTCAGAATCAACTCCACAGGATCAGGAAAGACCTCTACCTAAACACAAATGAAACAAACACTATTCTGCTGAGTAGAAATACAGAAAAATGGGGGTAGAAGACTAACTAAAACATTTAAGCATAAAGGATAAAATCCCATTACAACTGAGATAAAGATACTTGAATATACAGAACAGATATAAAAGGAATAAAAATGAAAAAAAAGCAGAAAAACAAAAAAGATTTCCAAATATTACAAAAAATATTTAAGGCTCTATTAACTGATGACTTTTTCCTAATAGTACTTAATGAAATCAGACTGGGAAAACAACTCAATGTGAGCAGTCCTTAGGATTTCTGAGTACAAGAACATGACACTTATTAACAGCATGCCCTAGTCATTATGTTTATGTAGTTGAAGACAATAGAATAGATAGATAAATATATGCACAATAGTTAAATATAAGCAAAAGAATACTACAAAAAAGAATAAGTAAGCTTTTATGTAATGATATATAAAGATCTCTAAAATGAATTATTTTTAAAAAAGCATCTAACTGTATGGATAATATGCTACAGTAAATGTAAAATAGGAAATCTATATCTCTATCTATGTTAAATTTACATATATATATGTAATATCTTTGGAAGGAGATAAAAGAAACTAGCAATTACAAAAAAAACCACCTCACTGCCATTGTAGTCATTAATAAAGAAACCAGGGTGGACAACAGGGGCTAGAGGAAGAATTTTTTTTATAGATATAAAATTTAAGTTTCAAACCATGTAGTATCATTTCAAAATAAATTAAATTTCAAAGTGTTTCTTACAAATCTTGGTGGAGGAACAGCCAGGTTCAAGCTACTCAGTGAAACATCCAATCCATTCTGGGCACATGCCACCAGACGCAAAGCAACAAAGAATTCCTAAGAAAAAAAGTATGAATGTTGAGAATATATAGGTATGTATGTACATATGTATGTATATGTGTGTGTGTATATACACACATATACTTATAATCTGAAAATATAAAACAAATCACAATTATTACAGCTTTCCCACGTAGCAACAAATATAGCAGTACATTTGCTTGGTTTAAATCTAAGATCTGCATACAAAGATGTTTCTAACATTTTAACAGCAACAAACTGGTAACAATATAATGGGAAAATAATTAAATTTTGATACATATATGAGACAACAATTAATCTGTCTTAGTCCAGAGCAAAGAAGAATGAAGAAAACCAAAGACACATGGAAACAATTAGTCCAAGGGACTAGTGGACCATGCAAACCTCAGTCTACCTCACCCTGAGACCAGAAGAACTAGATGGCGCCCAGCTACCACTATCTACCACTTGGAAAAGGGTCAGTGTAGGAGATCCTGGACAGAGTGGGAGAAAAATGTGGACCAAAACTCAAAATCATAAAAAAGACCAAGATTACTGGTCTGATAGAGACTGGTGAAACCCCCAAGACTACGGACCCTAGTCACCATTTGGATCTGGAATTGAACTCATCCCGTGGCTTCCATCCAAACAACAGACAGGTGTATACAGTGAACATTTATACCAGGTAGGTAGACACCTTCACAGGAAAAAGATAAGGCAACTTACTTCCATAAAGATTTACAGCCTAGAAACCCCAATAGGGGTCACTATGAGTCAAAACTGACCCAATGGCAGTGAGTTTAGTTTTAGTTTGAGGTACACTCCTCAGACAACCAACCATGGGAGATCAGAAGGGCACTATAGGGAGATAGCTCAGAAGGCAGGAATGCATAGGAAAGAAGGATACAGGAAAAAGGTAACCACAGGAAGGAAGTGGGAAGAGAGCTGTTATATTGTGGGGACTGCAGTCAATGTCATGACACAAAATATATATGGACTATTGTATGGAAAATGAGCTTACTCTGTAAACTCTCACTCAAATCACAATAAAAATAATAATAATAATATAGAAGGAACAGAAATAAAGTTTTCAACTTTGGGGGTAAAAAAACCCTGTGATACATATAGAGTAGAAATTACAGAGAATTAATAATCTTCCCAAAAGGTCCTTGGATTTGTGGCATTTAAGTCTCAGTCCAAAACATACACACATACATACAAAAATGCAAAGACACTGAAGCAAACAGTTTTCCATTGTTTTGAGTTAAAGTCAGGTCTGGAAATAGAAATGACAACAATAGCCTTTACTCCATTTACTATTACTTGCAACACGTCAATACCCTGATTCAATCAACTCTCCACTACTTTTCTCAAATCCTTTATTGTCACCTACTGGTAGCATAGTGGCTAAGGCACTTGACTGCTAACCAGAAGGCTGGCGGTTCAAACCCACCAGCCACTCCTCGGAAGGAAGGTTGGGCAATCCTACTTCCGTAGTGATACTGCCTCGGAAACCCAAGGAGGGGTCGCTATGAGTTGGGGCTGACTCAATGGCAAACAACAACAACAACAACAACAACACCCTTCTTACACAATTCTTAATCTATTCTTATCATCTTGTATGCTGTCTGCTTTATATAATTCCTTGCCTTCACTCACAAATTTCTTGGGGGGAATAAAGTACTATTTCAAGGTGTACAACCTGACTTCAATTCCCACTATTAGCTAGAAAGATTGTCTTCATTACAGATTATCTCCTATCTACCATATATAATGGCCTCTTTAAAAAAGAAAAAAACAAAAAACTCTCATCCTACTTATTCTCTTGGCACACGGGATACTATGATCAACTTTGAAACCCTCCTCCATCAACACAGCTTTAAAAAGCTCTCCGAGGTTTCTGCTGACCTTTCCAATCTCCTCTGCTAGATTTAATGCCTCTTCTAATCTTAAATGTCAGTATTCCAAACATTCCAACACTGACCCTCCTTCTCTTCTCACTCTGTTGTTGTTGTTGTTATTTGCCATCGAGTCGGCCCCGACTCATAGCGACCCCTCCTTGGGTTTCCGAGGCAGTATCACTACGGA